AGGGTGACGGAGTTGTTGGATCAAGGAGAGCAGCTGGTGACGGATTCATGAGGCTGCAGAGAGGCACGGACGCCCTTCCTCGTTTCTTCTCTTTGTGGCGCTCGACTCGATTGATACTGGGTATTGGGGCGGCGCTTGGACGAGTTTCTTCTATCGTAGAAGGGGGGTTACAGAGATACCCGGGCACAAGTTTGCTGTAGAGAGAATTTTGTTTCGTCGATTATTGTTGAGCAAGAGATCTCTTACCGTTTCCCATTTCAATGTGTCGCAATGAAGGAAGTCACCCACAGGCACACAACGGGCAAGCGGGATGTTCACCAAACATGGAATGGGCAGGGACGGAATTAGCAGCAAGGGTAGCAACGGCTTCGGATGGTGTCCCGCGAGGCGGCATGGCTGACCAGTGATGGCAGGCTCGCTGAGGTTAATGGTCGCCGTGCATAGGGAGATGGGTTGGCTACAAAAGTGGCTTTGTGAGAGTGGGCGTTTGTCAGGACGAGGGTGCATGCCGCCTGCATGCTACCCCGAACAGCTGAAGGTGGGAGCTCAACGATAGCAAAGGTGGGTGGTGACGAGGCGCGCCTATGATGACGGCGGAGTGGTGTGGCAGGCCATGCGTCTTGTGGGTTAGGCGGCGGCCGGGGGGGCGGTGCGGCGCGAGCTGGTGCATGTCGGTGGCGTCGCCCGTTGCGCTGGGGCCCAATGTGCTGGGCGAGAGAGACGCGAGGGAGGTCGGCGGATCGAGTTGAGTTGAGTTTCGGGGATTCGACGACGGCGGCGGTGATGTCGGAGCATCGGACGACAGGGACCAAGGAGCCTCTTTGGTGCGTATGAGGGCGGTCGGCAGAGGCCAATAAGGGCGTGGAGCCCGCCCTGCTCTCTGGGACTGTCATGCACGCTGTGTCCGGGCGCAAAAAATGCCATGGTTTCTGCAGGCGAGACGTGGGCGGCGGCGGCGACGGCGACGGCCAGTTGCGGGCATCGGGGATCATTGATGATGAGGCATGCATGATGGATTCGCGCGCCCGGAGAACAAGGTCCTGGGCGGGATGGGTACCCGCTGAAACGGGGGCGTCTCGCAGTGGCGCGTTGCTTGCTTGCCGCCTTGCCAAGTACTCGTGCCTTGTTCGAAGTACTCGCAGGAGAAGCTTGCGTATCGACTGGACGTTGTTGCTGGTCGCACGACGGGAGGGCTTGCGTGTCGCGGAAAATGATGATGCTGCTGCCGCCAGTGACCGCGTTGTGCTAGGGTGTTCTTCTCTGTGACGGAGACGCGAACGCTCACGGATCTTCCCATCCCCCCTCCCCTCAGCCCCCCCCCCCAACCGGCAACTTGTGAGACATCACGACACCCTTGACGAGGCCCCCGGGGGAGCCCAGAGCCAAAGGAGCGAGGCGCGATCCATGGCAGAATGGGTGGGTGGTGTGGCTCGTCGCGGTGGTGGTGGTGGTGGTGGTGGTGGTGGCCCCGAGGTCACCTGGGCCGCCCAGTTTGTCGCAGGCAGTCCCGACGCCGGGGCGCGCAGTGATTGGCACGGCCGCGCAGCGGAGCGGCGATGCGTGACGTGACGATGGCGATGGGCCAGGCTGGATCGAGCGAGCCTCGCTGGACAGGCTCAACGTTTCGCGGTCCGGGAGTCCTGGTGGGCTTCGTCAGTAGTGCTGGGCGGGCCGCCATCGCCGGTACCTTACCTTGCTGTATGTGTCTACTCCTGCTGCTGCTTCCGCCCGCCACCGCGGTTGTCCACTGTCACCAGGCTTTCAACGGTGTAGTACTTCGTAGCGCAGTCCCACTCTGGGCGGCGGGCGCGTCGCCGATACGATCGACGGACCGGGAGTAACTCGAATTGGGGTTGCGTCAAAGCATGGCAGCGGCTAAGGTACCTAAGGAAGGCAGGCTGAGGTGCCGGTGACGTGCCTGCCGTGCGACAAACAACCGCCAGTGACCGGATGCCTCAGTCCTACGAAGTAGGCTCCTGCCTGTATGGCAGGGTACATTGGCTTTCCTCTCCTTACCGTCCAGTCTGTACCTACACGAGGTACTCCATACGAAATAGTACCACCTCTTGTTTGTACCCTTCGCGTCTCACGGCCTCGAGCTTGAGAGTGAGCTCATCCATCCCGCCTTCCCCGCAGCGGCCCCCGTCGTTGTCACTACTAAAGCCATACATTCCCGTGCCTTGGCCACCGTTCTCGTTCCACCGCCTGCTCGCACTCTTGAACCTCCCTTTGCCCCTTTCCTTGGAACTTGTTGCCAGCTTCGTATTCGAATCTCCTGCTCCTTGGGCCCATCACCGCCGACCTCGTCTAGCACGCCCCCGAGAGATCGCTGCACCGCAGCAAAGCCGTCATCATGGCCAACTGGAATGCCTGCAAGTCCGCCCGCTCGCAGCGTTGGCCCGTTCCAAACCGCTAACCTCGCTCAGGGAACCCCTTCACCAAGCGCGAGTCGCACACGTCCGGGTCCATCACGACGTACAAGATCCTCACGCTCATCACCTGGCTCCTGTCCGTCGTCGTCTCCGTCTACTACACCCTCCACGCGCCCCACGATGGCTTCACCATTCGCAAGCGAATCTGGGACCAGAACTACCTCTACCCCAGTGCCTTTACAATGAATCACATCCTTGGCGATGTCTACTGGTACGTCGCCCTTTGCCTGCCATCGCCGGCCATCGCTGCTGGCAGACGAGCTGTGACATGATCTAACATGCGTCCATCCAGGGTTGGCCTTTTCGTGCTGCAGTTTGGTTACATCACTCACCTCTTCTCCCGCAATGCCGACACGGTCAATGCCGCGGCGAGCGTTGGCAGCCACTTCATCCTGAACAATCTCTTCCACTTCGGCTTCATCATGCTCTTTGTTCGCTCCCACTTCCACTGGGCTGAGCTCCTCCTGATCCTCAACTTTATCAACCTCTCGTCGCTCTACTTCCGCCATAACACGTATCCTCGCTTCATTCATGCTCCCACCGTCTCCGGCCCCCTTGCTTGGACCTTTGTCGCCATCTACTGGAACGGTGCCATCATGGTGCCGCACCCGCACAGCCTCGTGGCTCGCATTTTTGGCAATATCTTCATTTGGTCCATTCTTGTTTACGGGATGTTCTTCATCATCATCTTTAAGGTATGTATTGGTGTATGACGCGCTATGCGACGTGCCCATTTGCTGATGCTCCGCAGGACTACACCATGGGCTTTTCTCTCAGCATGCTCGCTGCCGCCATTGGTGTCGCCCAGTTCACGCGCAAGATCATCGCCCTCCAGTGGATCTTCGCCTTCATCATCATGGCGCTCCTCTTCATCATGACGGTCATCGTCGCCGTGCCCGCTTGGACTGGACGAGAGATCAGGTGGCGACGAGCCGAACCTGCCGACCAGGAGCGTGCTCCTCTGCTCAACGAGTAGTGGGCTCGCATGCCAAGCCAACTTTGCGCTCGCCACCGCGAAGCTTCGGCAGTGCCCCAATGCGAGAGTTGGTGTCACCCCAACGCCGCCCGCCCTCATCCACATCCGCGATTGTCATTCGCTGGCAGAAGGCCTCCGTTTTCTCTTACTACGAAGTATGACGTGGTCGCGATTGTCGGTTTTATGATTGTGAAGGGGATATCGCTGAGTGCATCTTTACTTCTCAAGCCTGCCCATGACGCAGCGGGAGTCTCCCTCGCTCTGGGTATGTCCGAGGCGTTAGATGGTTGCAGGCATATTTGGGCTCGATTATGGGAAACGTTTTCAATTGCGTGATAATTCAGGATCGTCGGGTATTTTCGCGTCAGGTAACAGCAGCGGTCGAATAATTGAATCGTTAGGAACTCCTCTAAGTCGATGTCACCCGGATGGCCTGATGCGAAGCTGTGCAATGACGTATGAGCGAGCGTGGCGCCTGGGAAAGAGCTCCTATCGATAAGCCTCCGCTCTTAAAGTCCAACCAACTTGAGCCAGTGAAGATCGTGCATTGAATTGCCCAGCACTTTCCACCAGTTGTTCTCAACACTTTCTCAATGAAACCGCTGCGGGCATTTCCTCTCCCACTCAACGTTGGTACCGACATTTGCCAGATCTCGCGCATCTACTCGATACTCCGAAGCCCACGCCGAGCGCGCTTCGTGAACCGTATCCTCGCGCCCGAGGAGGTTGCGCAAAAGGACCCACGCCTGGACTTCCACGGCGTCGGCACCACGAAGTCGTCCCAGACGAGCGCACGCGAGTCCGCCAAGCATGACGCCGAGGTAGCCCTGCGGGAGACGCCGCTGTGGCAGTCGGCGGCCTTTCTGGCCGGGAGGTACTTATGCGCGGGCACCGCCTCCGCCTCCCCCCCTCTCCCTCTGCCGCGAGATCTGCGAGCGGGACGGGGCGGAGAGAGACAAAGGACACGATGCTGACCGTGAGGGACGCTCGCAGGTTCGCGGCCAAAGAGGCTGCCATAAAGGCGCACTCGCACCGGCGACTGACCTTTCACGACGTCATCATCGAGCGGAGAAGCGGCGGCGCGGAGCGATTGGGGAGCGGGCCGCCGGTCGCGCGGATACGCGCTGCTGCTTCGGCGACGGCAGAAGAGGACGTGAGCGCGATGATTTCTATCAGTCACGATGGCGACTACGCCACGGCTGTGTGTCTGGCGCACGACCCGAGCGTTGTCGAGGATAGGCAAGGACGAAGCTAGCAGGCGTCGGTGGGGAGGGTGCGAAGAAGGTGGTTGAAGATACCCCAGGAAGTAGTGTACTATTTGCCACAAAGGATACGATGAAATGAATGAATGCACGCAGACATCATCCGTCGGCGGGGTGTTGAGGAATTGGTTTGCTTATTCGCAAACCGCAAACGAGACGCGTGCCCTCACGCGACACATATCCTGCACAGCGTATCTCTGCGGCAAGTAACTTAACATTCATTGCGAAAAACAAAAATATCAAGCGTTCCACACGTCAAATATTGTTTTGATGGCGATACCAGACCGGAAGGGCCGCCAGCGGCGCGGAACAAAAAGAGAAAAAGCACGCCGGTATACCAGGGACTCGAACCCTGAGCCTTAGTCTGGTTTCCTGTTGCCAAATGACAGACAATAGGAGGACTACGCGCTACCATTGCGCCAGCACACCGTGGATACTGTCGCGCTCACCAATGATGATTGGCTAAGCAAGGGGGGCTTATTTTGCATTATATGGAGGAATAATTTTGACCCACTGGGCCTCGGTCGGAGTTTTGGGCGGACCTGCGGATCTTATCATGTCGTTGAAACTGCCGCGTTGTCAAGCGACACCTTTATTCTCCTTTTTGACAGATCTCGGTTCATTACAGCGTGTGAACGTGGCAGTACGGCCGGTCTGGAGCAGCGCATCGTGACGAATGCGGGTCGTCGGCACTGCATGGCATGGCAACAGGCAAATTGCCCTCGGCCTGACCCGATCGATGGGAGCGGACAGCCGAGAAAATGCATCACTGACGAAAGCGTACTTCGTACTCCCCGCGATAGTCAACACTCGGCGGGCTGGTCGTGAAAACCGGGGGACAGACGTGGGACGTTGCGGGGGTGAGGAGGGCGAGGGCCGCCGGAGAGTCGAGCGAGTCAGTGGTGCCGGCTCCGATGCCGAGCACGCGCATGGGCAGGAGCCTTCGGGGTCGGGATTGAGCTAACAAGCTGGCTGGCCTGGCACGGGGGTCCTCGGGGGCCCCGGGTTTATGAGTTATGGGGGCGGCATTCACCCGCGCCGGGCGTGCATGCTGGGCTCGAACCGTCACCTGTCGCCGGGCATCGTCGACCCCCGAAGCGGTTCCAATCTTTGTTGCGCCCAGAGCGTTGTCCGTCGTATGAGGGCAGGGCGGCTTTGCAGTTCATACATGTGACGAGGGAGCGCATGAATGGCATGCCCCTCCGCCCGCGACTTGGTTCCTCGAACGGCGGGCGTTCCTCCACATGACTTCATAGCAAAACGCAGGCAGGCAGGCAGGCAGGCAGGCGAGCGCGCGCAACGGAGAATTGCGCTCTGTCCACGGACGCTGGCATGTGAAGCTGGTCCCCGAAGCGGCCTAGCGCCCCCTCCGCACCTGGGGCGTGTGGGGGGGCGTCTGGCAACTGGCACGGCGGCGCCCCTCGCCGCTCGGTACGGGAAGCCAGCAGCGAGGGAAAGAGCTACCCGACCCGCCCAGCTCAGCCGAGGCTCCAGAGTCCAGGCTCGCCGGCGTCAGTTTGGGCCAACCGACGACCGAGTGAACAAAAGGGCACAGCTGCTCTGCTCTCGTCCGCCTCTCATCTCCGCCTCCCCTTCCCCTTCGTCGTGCCTCTCCTCCATCCTCCCACCTGCAAACCCGCATCCCGTCCTCCCCATTTATACCCCCGGGACTCTTTTTTCTCTTTTCCTTTCCGTGTTGCTTTGCTCCCTCCTCGCGGGCAGAGAGAGACCAGCTCGTTAGCGACGGTCACCACACACAAACACATACACCCTCACACAAACACACACACCATGGCTGAGCAATTGCGATACGACGGCCAGGTCGTCGTCGTCACGGGCGCTGGCGGTGGCCTCGGCCGCGCCTATGCCCTCTTCTTCGGCTCCCGCGGCGCCAGCGTCGTCGTCAACGACCTCGGCGGCTCGTTCAAGGGCGAGGGCAACTCCACAAAGGTACGAGCGGGATGACTGGCTGATCCCGGCTGATGTCGGGCAACGTGAGCTGACCACAAGCACACCAGGCTGCTGATGTCGTCGTCGACGAGATCAAGGCGGCCGGCGGCAAGGCCGTCGCCAACTACGACAGCGTCGAGAATGGCGAGCGCATCATCGAGACGGCCATCAAGGCTTTTGGCCGCATCGATATCCTCCTCAACAACGCCGGTATCCTCCGCGATATCTCGTTCAAGAACATCAAGGACGAGGACTGGGATCTCATCATGAAGGTCCACGTCAAGGGCGCCTACAAGTGCGCTCGCGCCGCCTGGCCCCATTTCCGCAAGCAAAAGTACGGCCGTGTCATCAACACGGCGTCGGCCGCCGGCCTCTTCGGCAGCTTCGGCCAGACCAACTACTCGGCTGCCAAGCTCGCCCAGGTCGGCTTCACTGAGACCCTTGCCAAGGAGGGCATCAAGTACAACATTCTCTGCAACGTCATTGCGCCTATCGGTAAGGCTCAATCCCCCCCCTGTTCTAAAACCTGTGAGCAGCTCGCGCTGACCTCCCCGCCTCAGCCGCTAGCCGCATGACCGAGACCGTCATGCCCCCTGATGTTCTCGACAACCTCAAGCCCGACTGGGTCGTTCCCCTCGTCGCTGTTCTCGTCCACAAGAGCAACACGACTGAGACGGGCGGCATCTTCGAGGTCGGTGGTGGCCACGTCGCCAAGCTGCGCTGGGAGCGGTCCAGCGGTCTCCTCCTCAAGGCCGACGACTCTTACACCCCTGGTGCCATCCTGAAGAAGTGGAACAAGGTCGTCGACTTCTCCAGCCCCCAGTACCCTACCGGACCCAACGACTTCCTCGGCCTTCTCGAGGAGTCCATGAAGATGGGCCCCAACGAGCAGGGCGAGAAGCTCGACTTCACCGGCCGTGTCGCCCTCGTCACTGGCGGTGGAGCCGGCATTGGCCGCGCTTACTCCCTGGCCTTTGCCAGGCACGGCGCTTCCGTCGTCGTCAACGACCTCGTCAACCCCGACGACGTCGTCGCTGAGATCAAGAAGATGGGCGGCAAGGCCGCTGGTGTCAAGGCCTCAGCCGAAGACGGCGACGCCGTTGTCAAGGGTGCCATCGACGCCTTCGGCCGCATCGATATCATTGTCAACAACGCCGGCATCCTGCGCGACAAGGCCTTCTCCAACATGGACGACAACCTGTGGGACCCTGTCATGAACGTGCACCTGCGCGGAACCTACAAGGTCACCAAGGCCGCTTGGCCCTACTTCCTCAAGCAGAAGTACGGCCGCGTCATCAACACGACCTCGACCAGCGGTGTCTACGGCAACTTTGGTCAGGCCAACTACGCCGCGGCGGTAAGCAAAAACTTCCACTGAGTCAATTTCAAGTGTACATGTACTGACGGCGCGCAGAAATGCGGTATCCTGGGCTTCTCGCGCGCCCTGGCGCTCGAGGGCTACAAGTATGGCATCTACGTCAACACCATCGCCCCCAACGCCGGCACGGCCATGACGGCCACCATCATGCCCGAGGAGATGGTCCAGGCCTTCAAGCCCGACTACATCGCTCCCCTCGTCCTCGCCCTGTGCAGTGACAAGTGCCCCGACCCCACCGGCGGGCTCTACGAGGTCGGCAGCGGCTGGTGCGGCCGCACCCGCTGGCAGCGCACCGGCGGCCACGGCTTCCCCGTCGACGTCAAGCTCGTCCCCGAGGAGGTGGTCAAGAACTGGAAGGACATTGTCAACTTTGACGATGGCCGCACCGACCATCCCGAGAAGACGCAGGAGTCGCTGCAGAAGATCATGGCCAACATGGAGAACAAGGCCGGTGCCAGCCAGGTATGAGACTCTCCATCTCTCGCCGCCGTGTTCTGCTCCCCCATACCTGGGGTTGGCATGTACCTGTAGCAATCTAGCGCTAGGATCCTGTAAAATCAAAATGAGAAATGACCACGCACACCGCAAAAAAAAGATATGTGCCCCTCGCTGATCCGTATGTCTTCCTAGGGTGCTGCTGCCGCCGCCGGAAACGAGTACCTCTCTGCCATTGCCGAGGCCGTCAAGACCGAGGGCAACCCGTGCGAGTTCAAGTATGAGGAGCGTGACGCCATCCTCTACAACCTCGGCGTCGGTGCCAAGCGCACCGAGCTGAAATACGTCTTGTAGGTTCTACCTACCTACCTCTTTTGCCGTGCGTCTCGTGCCGACCGTCGTGGCTAACCATGGTTTGTGCATCAGCGAGGGCAACGAGGACTTCCAGGTCCTGCCCACGTACGGCGTTATCCCGCCCTTCAGCACCGAGATGCCGTTCGACTACAACGCCATCGTCCCCAACTTCTCCCCCATGATGCTCCTCCACGGCGAGCAGTACCTCGAGATCCGGCAGTGGCCGCTGCCGACCTCGGCGCGCCTCACCTCGCGCGGCCGCCTCCTCGAGGTGGTCGACAAGGGCAGCGCCGCCATCGTCAAGAACGGCATCACCACGGTCAACGCCGAGACGGGCCAGGAGGTCTTCTACAACGAGATGACCGTCTTCCTGCGCGGCTGCGGCGGCTTCGACGGCCCCAAGAAGGGCCAGGACCGCGGCGCCGCCACGGCGCCCAACGTGCCCCCCAAGCGCGCTCCCGACGTCGTCGTCGAGAGCCAGACCACCGACGATCAGGCCGCCATCTACCGCCTCAGCGGCGACTACAAGTACGTCTCCCGCCCCCTGCCCCGTGAGACAAACAGGAGGCAAGACGTTTTTCCCGTGCTGACCGTCGCCGCCGCAGCCCCCTGCACATCGACCCTTCCTTTGCCAAGATGGGTGGCTTCAAGGCCCCTATCCTGCACGGCCTCTGCACCTTTGGCATCGCCGGCAAGGCCGTCTACGACCGGTACGTCCCCCGCCGCTTTTACCGGCGCCCAGGTAGTTGCTCGATAAAAGCGTTCGTGCGCATGCTAACCTACGCCTTTCCTCTCCCAACAGCTTCGGCGCCTTCAAGAACGTCAAGGTCCGCTTCGCCGGCCCTGTCATCCCCGGCCAGACCCTCGTCACCGAGATGTGGCGCGAGGGCAACCGCGTCGTCTTCCAGTCCAAGGTCAAGGAGACGGGCAAGCCCGCCATTGCCGGCGCCGCCGCCGAGCTCATGGCTGATGACAAGAGCAAGATGTAGAGCACGAGAACTCTATGTTGAAGCGACAAAGAGGACGGACGGGATGATGATGATATGATTGGTGTTGTGCGGGAGAGCCGCCCGCACTTGGACAAAAAAAAAGGCTGCACTGTGAAGAAGCATCTGCAATTTCATGTATTATAAACCATGTCTGTACTGTAAATGAAGTCCGCTGGGTTACCCTGCCCTTCCTTTCCCAACCTACGCCCGCCGTGCAAGATGACATCATCATAAGAGACAAAAAGCAGCCAGCATGTGCGAAGGCCGATTGCGCCTCCAGCCAGCCCGTACATCGCTACCATCGCCTTGGGGTCCAAGCCGGA